TATTGGCTATATTCGTGCAAGTGATGTATTGTGCTATGTAAATACTAATTGTTTTTGTTATTTTTTTGTTCTTTGTACATATGTTCAATAACTACCTGAAATTTTATTCAACAACTACCTGCCAATGTATATTATTTTATAGTGTACAGTTTTCGAGAACATTACTCGAATAACTATAACATGACAACTAGCGATAGCTACTATGTGTGAATTTATTTCTCAAATGATTATAACCAAGCTTTGTCAATAAGATGTTAATCTTCAGACAATGAAGCATATTTTGACTTTGACCTTTTCAAGCACTTTGATAACTTTCTCACTGATAGAACCTTAGCCAATCAGGACCAGGTAAAAAACAGCCTTCGACGACTTCATCAAGTCCCGAGCACACGCATCCTAAGGCTACTAGAATGCCCAGTACCTCCACATAAAGGCATAAATTAAGTCTTTATCCAATATGATGTTATGGGTGGACAGCACTATTTTTCAACATTTATTGAAACTGAATTTAAGGGATGAGTTTATGATACTGTCCTCCAAAACTTGAATAATGTAGTGTCATCAGCAAATAAGACACATTTAATTGGTATACAAAAATTCAAATATATCACTTTATAAATTATAAAATGGAGCGGTCCAAGAACAGATCCTTGAAGCATACTATGGGTGACTTGTATATATTCAAAAGTATTACTACAACTAAACTGGTTGTAATTCTGAAAACAGTTTCTTTCAAAATGCATAAACTTCTGATTTGATGAGAATATAGATTTAGCAACTATATAAGGATATCATTTGAGTTTCGTTCAAAATACATATCCCTGCATCAATGAACTATAAATTGGCAACAAACAACAAACCTCACTATGTCGTATATATCAGCGCTTCTACCCTGTCTCAACCGAAGCAACCAAGCTCCGGGGTTTGCTTTGAGTTGGAAGTACCCCAAATTAGCCATAACAATAGTATCAACGATGACAGGCTGGCTCTCAGTTCCTAGAGTTATCTGTAAACCTCTCGGCGGACTTCCAGTAGTTTGTTCGAAGCAGTGACCTTCTAAAAGGAGGTACTCCAACTCGTATTCACTGAAAAAGACCTGTAATAGTTTGGGAAACACAATTTATTACGATATTAGTTACCTGTGTACGTTGCTTTCCACATTTTCCAACCTGATGTTGTCCAAGTCATACACTGATCTGACCACCTCCACTAACCAGTTTTCAGGAACGTGATAGTTCTGCGTCAGCAGAGGAGATGCTGGCATATTATTGAATCTTGCTAAAGGACCAGGTAGTTGACGACCGTCTTCCGAGAACTGAATTTCGGGTTCTAATACAAATCGGTAAAAACTGCAAGAGGAAAATAGTATTCATTAGAATATTTCTTCACATTAACTATACTATCAATACATATCCAAATCTATAAAGGTTAGTTAAACATGATACCTGCTTGAGTAATGGTAGGTAAATAGTTTTCAATACACCATATAAGTGAGGTTAGCATAATTCATGCTCAGGATATCCATCTTCACATTTCAATGGTAAAGAAGATGGAATGAAGGAAGAATGAAGTCAACGTATCATCATTTGAGAAGTGAAACAAATAGATTGTGGTTAAATCGTCGTGGATGTATAGTGCTTTGCCAGATAGGCTCATTGGTTGTGAGAAAATAATTGAAGTGTTCTATATTGATTTTAAATTAATTTCAAATATGACAAAATTCAAGGTCAACTGCACATACCCGTATTGTTATTTGGTCCATAATTGAACAGACAAGTTTTGATGACGTAATGAATACTTTCAAATGGTTTGAACTCAAAAAAGAACACTCTGTAGAAGGTTCAATACTCTTCATGACCGTTTCATGAAGATTGATAACCTTGAAAATGAAATTTATTCTATGGAAAAATCTTGGATAAAATTCTAATAGTTTCTATAAAGAAACAAAAATTATGGAAATTAGGCAATTATTCTACCTTTGTGTGAATATGAGGTACCACTTCCAAAAACATAAAGCTGAAATTCACATGAATACAATACACGAAACCGTAACAAACACACACCCTTCCGCATGTTACAAAATCTAAAACTCAAAGAGCATTTTCTTATATTTCAATAAAACTATATAATACCCTGCCCGAAGAAATAAAAAAATGTAGAAATAAACAAATGTTTAAAAAAAAATAACGAAATATATTAATGAAAGTGATGGGAAGGAAACAAGTGCTTTGCACGTATCCTAAAACACTTTGTTCACTTCATGTATCTGTATCATTTATATATTTTCAATGTGAATAAAGTTATTATTATCATTAT